TGTATCCAGATTATATAAAAAACTGCCACAACTCAATAAGAAGACAACTAATTTAAAAAATGGGCAAAGAAACACACACCAAGAAAAAAAATGGGCAAAAGATTTGAAAAGACACTTCACTACAGAAGAGATATGGATGATAAATGGGCATTTGAAAAGATGCTCAACATTCTAAGTCATTAAGGAAATAAAAATTAAAACCACAGTGAGATACCAATATATAATTAATAAGATGGACAAAATTTTTTTAATAGACATTTCCAAGTATGTGAAACAACTGGACTCTTACACATTGCTGGTAGGAATACAAAACATTGGAAAACTTCAAATAAGTTTCCCAGGCTCTTATAATGTTAAATGGGCCAACAATTCCACCTTTAAGTATTTCAGTAAGAGAAACAGAAACATATGTCCAAACAAAGAGTTTAATATGAACATTAATGGCAACTTTATTTATAGTAGGTAGGAATAACCCAAATATCTATCAATAGGTGAATGAATAAACAAATACATTGAGATATATCCATACAATGGAATAAAGCTCAAAAGAACTAACACATATAACATGAACGAATCTAAAAAGGCTTCTTGATAAGTAAACACAAAATATTACATATTATAACATTCTATTTACATTAAATTCCACAATGAGCAACACTATAGTGATAGAAAAGAGATTGGTAGTTGCCAGGGGTTAAGGGTTATGGGAAAGGACTAAACACAATGGGGCATGAGAGAACTTTCTGAGGTAATAAAAATGTTTTGTATCTTGATAGACATGTTTTATATCTACATTTGTCAAAATTCATTGAACCATACACTTAAAGTGAGTGAACCTTACTATATGTAAATTATATTTCAATAAAGCTAACTAATAGAAAGCAAACATACATGCACACAGATGAATACCACTACTGTGGCTAAAGTTAAAAAGACTGGCCAGGTGCAGTGGCTCACGCCTGTAATCCCAGCACTCTGGGAGGCCAAGGCAGGAGGATCGCTTGAGGTAAGGAGTTTGAGACCAGCCTCAGCAAGCAAGACCTGTCTCTACTAAAAATAGAAAGAACTTAGCCGGACAACTAAAAATAGAAAAATTAGCTAGGCGTGGTGGTGCCTGTCTGTAGTCCCAGCTACTCAGGAGGCTGAGGCAAGAGGATCGCTTAAGCCCAGGAGTTTGAGGTTGCTGTGAGCTAGGCTGACACTACGGCACTCTAGCTCAGGCAAGAGAGTGAGACTCTGTCTCAAAAAAACCCAAAAAAACAAAAATAACAAAACAAACCACTAGAATCTAATAAAAATTTACATATTTCCAAAAAGTCCCTTTTAAAGCAAAAAAAAAAAAATAGTAAGTTTCCTAAAACTTAAAAATTTGAACATATCCTTAGCAACCACATTCTAAAATTATAACTAAGTTTAATAATAAACCTCACAACCAGTTACAGATTCAAAAAAAAAGAAAAAATAATACAGCCCACCTTTTAAATAATTGTTAAATGTAATTTACGATAATCAAAATTCAAAACTTACCAGGGAAGGAGTACTGAAATTGATTTCTTCAAAGCAACCATCAAACGTTAAACTAAATGTTGGATCTATACACACAAGACAACATTTTTTAAACATTAAGACCACTAAATAACTTTTTCCAGTTATACTTTTCTATGAAAATAGCAGTTCATCAGTAATAAAAAATACAATGCTTTGCAAATTATAAATCTTCAAGGAACTAATTTTCTATCTTGACCTAAAGTAACTGTGATCTTTTGATTAAACTAGCACCTAACTTGTGATTAAGATTTTTATCAAAATTTGTAGAGTATAATCACCATCAAATGGGCCATTAATTTGTAAATGTAGTCTAACACAGACACATTTTCCTATATAAATCCATAGCAGAGCTAGCCTCATATATATTTATAATG